TGATTTATTTTAATAAATCATTTTAATATTTACATCACAAGTAAATTTCTTAATTTATTCTTGATTTGGGTCTGTACTCAGGTTCCCAATCAAGACCACACAAATAGTCAATAAATTGGATTTATCTCCATAAGATTTATCCTGATTATGATATGGGATATCGAAACATATTTTTATCGGCCCAAAGCCTATAAAAATTTATTCTAACTAAAACAAATTTGATTTATTTTAATAATTATCTATTAATAATTCTAAGGTATGTTTTGGGGCGTTACAATTTTTGATTCACGAACTTGAGGCGTACCTTGGTATGTGATCATATGCTTGTTCCACATTTGGTTGGCGGTTTGGCAACGAGATATCTTTTGATAATCATTGGCATTGACAGAACAATACAAGAAATTTATGGCAGTGGCATTCAATTGAGCCTTCTTTAAGTCGGCTTCATCATATTCATCCTCGTCCTTTGGGATGAGTGTATCGCCTATCTTCTTCATCAGTAAGCTATCTCCATTCTTGATACTAAGCCAAATTTTGAAGTCATTTGATTGGACAAAGATCCTCATCTGCTCCTTCCAATAGGAGTAATTTGTTCCATAAAAAAATGGTGGCCTTACGATGGATTACCCTTCTCTAATCCCTGCATTCATCATTCTCAAAAAAATTTGATCGTTTTCTCAAACGTCAAAGGAGTGTTAGAGATACCTGCTCCGATACCAATTGTTAGACAATGCGTGCAACTCTAGAGAGGGGGGGGTGAATAGAGTTGTTGAGAATGTTTACCGATTTTCGCAGGATTAAAAAGATAAACGAAAGTGCAGCGGAAATAAAAGAGAGAAGGCAAAGAACACACCGATGTATATTGGTTCACCACCTCGTGGCTAGTCCAGTTCCCCGAGAGACTCTCTCGAAGCTACCACTACTTCCGTTAAGCTTACGGGTGCTTAACAAACCGTTTACAACTCGAGAACTTGAATCCCACAAGCCTCGACACAACAGCTCGTAGATATGCCCTTTACAAGACTTCACAACCAAGACTTAAGTTACATAAGTCTTGTACAACAAGAAGAACTAACAATCTTCTTCAACCTCTCAACATAAACTCTCACAAGAGTAGACATGAGAAATAATTAAAGCTCTAATGGATGACAAAACACTCTCTTGAAAACACTTAGTTTTCTCTCAAAATATATCAATTTGAGGAAGAATTATATGGAGGATTATAACCTCAAGATATGGGAGTTTAGGAGTGTTTGTTCATTTATAAAAATGACCAAGGAATGAAGTTTATAAAGGGGTTGAAGGAATATGTCCGTTGGAGCTAAGAAAAAAGTGTTTGCTGAATTTTAACACAAAAAATCGATTTTTCTACCCAATTAATCGATTTTTTTGCTTCTGAGCAAAATTCCTTCAGCAGACGAAATGAAAATCGATTTTTTCCAAAGTGTAAAAATCGATTTTTGAAACAATTGTGCCCAAACATAAAGTACACAATCATGTGCGCGATGTGAAGTGCTATTTTGGATTTAAGCACTTGTTTAGGACATAAAAATCAAACCAATGGGATCCCCAATCAACACACATAATTCAAATTCAAAATTTGAATTATGAGAATATATTTTTGGTGTAGAAAATGAGTCCCAAAAATATTTTGTGTGTCAAACGATGAACTCGAAAATATTTGAATAAAATATTTTTGCTTTCCAAAAATATTTTATAATATCAAAATAAATATTTTGATAAATGTTTGATACACCTTTTGTAACGGATTCAATGAATATATTTTGAACAGTTAAAAGGATTTTTCAACTGACTCCAAAAATATATTATCTTTCTTTTAACTCTCATAAGAATAATTTTGGAGAGAAGATATTTTTGTCTTCATTACAATTATTCCTAAGACTCAAATAAATAAAAAAGTCTTCGGAAAATCTTCAACTCCTCCGTGTCCTCCGTTAGGCGCTCCAAACGCGTCTCGGACTTCAATAAAATCTTGTGCAGCTTCTTGAATACATCAAGGAATTTGCACTTCAAGTCTTCGTGTTTGTTGTTGTAGCACTTTGATCTTGACTTGAAAAAATTGTGTTTGTCAATTATCAAAACCTGTGAGTCAACACTTAACAACACAGAAAAGGGTTGAACTCATGCATTCCAACAATTTCCCCCTTTTTGATAATGACAAACACATGGAGGATATGCTAACAACAAATAACAAATTAAAGCATATACTCATATACTCTTCCCCCTTTTGGCATTATCAAAAATAATGCAACAAAAGAACTCATGCATTCTGGGGAGAGAAAAAAAATTTCTAAACAATTAAGAAAAATCACATTCCCCCTAAAATCATGCATTTCTTGGAAATAAAATACTTCCCCCTTAAAGTATGCCATCTACCCCTTAAAAATAAAGCATACAAAAAGATTAACACATAGCAATAATTCCCCCTTACTATATGCAAAACATCCTATGTATATTCCCCAAATAACAATTATCACAAATAAATCTTAAAGATAACATTTGATTAAAAAAAATGTACTCCCCTTTGATGCAATCTCTTTAGTTAAGTGCTTGGAGCATCCACTACAAATTTGTAGTCTTGAAGCACACCTTTCAAATGTGTCACGTACCCGACCACCCATCTTGTTCTTCAAGAGCGATGAGGCAATCATCTTTGGAAGGTTGATCGTACTTCCACGAAAAATACGCGAATTCATCTTGTTTGCTCATCTTCTTGAGCTTCGGGCACTCAAATTTTCGATGGCCAAGCTTTCCGCACTTGTGACATTTTGGGGTGTTTTTCTTCTTGCTCTTGTTTAGCTCATGTTTCAAAAACTCGTTAAAACATTCAACCAAAATATCACAAGAAGTGCTAGAATCACTATCACTATTCGAATCAGAATCATCAATCTCTACTTTTTGAGAAGAAGATGCTTTAAAAGCAATTCCCGTTCTCTTCTTAACATCAAGAGTATGAGAAAGATGATTTGTTTCGTAAGTGATAAGGTTACCTCGAAGACCTTCATAAGTGATGACATAGTAATTTTGACCTTCATAGATGGAGTTAACCTTCGACTCCCATTCCTTGGTAAGACTTCAATAGTGGCAAATAACATTTGGATTATTCATCCTATATGGTTGAGTGTAATGAGTTCTAGGTTTGCTAGGATGTGCTTTTCTAGTTTGATTATTTATCCTAGCATTTTTATTCCCCCTAGCTTTAACAAATGTTGTTTTTCTAGGTTGGTTTTTCTTATATCCAAGTCCTTCACCATTACTAACTTTTTGCTTAAGTATTTTATCTAAGGTGTTTGAAGCATTATTGAACTTTCCCAATTTGCTCTCTAAACT